TCGAGGCCATTGAAATCGGCTCCTCCGATGACAAAGAGGAGGAGAAGAAGAAGAGGACAAGGGGTCGGCCCGCTCTAAACCCAGCCAACGTCGGCAAATACATGGCGGCGCACAGGGCTGAAGAGGCTGACAAGGCCAAGACGAGGCAGATGAGGAGGGATTATCGGATCATCTCTGATCCTGAGATAGCCCCCTCCTCTGCCTCGGCCAAAAGGGCTGCCGAGAGGGCTGCTGAGCTCGTTGAAGAGTACGAGCGGCAGCCCCTCGAGGCAATAGCGGCCGTGGCCACTAGAGAACTGGCCACGCTCGCAAAGGCCGTGGAGCGGTCAAAGAATATTAAGGGTGACATAGTGAGGGATTTGTGGGGAGTTTTCTCCAAACTCACCGCAGCCCTCACGGCCACCCTTAACCGGGTAAGTGACATGTCCGATGGAGGCTCCATGGCCGATGAGAGTGTCAGCCTCTGCAGGGAGCGAGCCTGGGCGGAGGAGAGGAGACGGCTCAAGGCCGAAATAGACCTCCGCCTGGAGAGAGCGGTGCGGAGGGAGGAGGCGAGGCGGGGAAAGAGACCCCCTGCCCCTCTCCCCCTTTGGCGCAAGATCCGACGCCGGCCACTAGACTCAGGGCCGGCAAACGCAGACCAAGCGGTGCCCCGGAGGGGGTTCGGAAACAAATGAACCCCCTGGCGTCCGAGAGAGACCGAGCCTCGCCCGTCGACCGAGCACTCATGCCCCCCCCTAGAAAGAAGAGGGGGAAAGGGGGAGGGGGCTGACCAGCAACGGCAGCGATTGCGAGGAGGAGGGGAGGATGGAGAGAGTCCTCTCGAGACTCCTCCCTCGCCTCCTCCGAGAAATGGGGGTGGTCCTAAGTTTGAGGGACCAGCCGCCTCGGATGGCCAGAGACGGGGGCGGAGAGCGACCCCCCATCGTTAGGTCCCTGAAGGTGAGGGCAGTTCCCCGGTGAGGAACCAACCGCCGCGAGGGGAGAGGGGGGACGGCAGAGAGCACC